ACTTGCCTCGTTGAGCCCCCTGGGGTCATATCAACTACAGTGAGGCTGAGTGAGAAGAGGTGAGCGCCCAAAGAACCTGGGGTCATCTCCTCCCTTGGCCCAGCCTCAGAGAGGTGTGACCAGGATAAACAACCATGGGGCTGACTGAAAAATGATGTTGTCAAATCTAAATAATTCACTTTCTTTTTTTTTTAAAGAACAATGGCTCTTTGCATATGTCATGAAATTTCCATGAAAAGTCCGGAGGCCCTCAATGATCAGTCCGCCCTGGACCCTGTGTGCTCTACATACTGATCTCTTTCTTCACGTTTTTTATTGTGTGGTGGGAGGTGGCTCCCACAGCCTGCCCTGGGGCTCCTCATGTCTTACTGAAGGCTCTAAATGCTGCCTCTTGAATAGCCTTTCCCCATCCAGCCCTAGAGATCAGTCACTTCCTCTCCTTGCTACCTCTAAAGAGCAGATGGACTCCTCTTGTTTGAAGATTTTTTTTTATTCTCAACTAATCACAATAGGGACACAGCAGAGAGAACAAAATAGCAAGCACAGGGAGAGAGCTCATACAGACCCCTTCCTGTGGGGCTGAGGAGAAAGTGTTGGACCAGCCTGATCAGCCACTGACTTAAGCTGTGTCACCTGGAGCCAAACATCTACCTCCTGCTAACCTCAGTCTTCCCTCTGGAAAATGGGGATGATAAGATGGCTTTACATGTCCCCAATGGCTAGCTTAGTGCTTAGTATGTCATAGGTGCCCCACAAGTGACTTTGTTGTTGCTGAAATAGGATTAAATAGACCCTTGGAGGAGTCTGAGACTCCATCTCTCCATCTTCATTTCGAAGGTGAGGCTCATCCCTTTTCTTTGGTGAACACTTTCAAGCTTGTGGGCTGCAGATGAAATACGCAGAACCATGGGGTTAACCAATGTCTCTCCAGCTGCCCTGTCTGTCTGGTCAATGATTTGCAGTTCTGAGGATGGAGAAGGGGCTGCTGCCCTCCCCATTGGGCCCTGGATGCATTTGAGTAAACTGCCCCTTGAGAGAAAGGAGTGTCTAATAATCCTTTCTCTCCAAAAGGTTAACTCCAACTGTTCTCAGGGTAGTGAACATACAGTTTTATTATTGCTCTCAAGGTCAGGAGGCAAAGGCATCCAATTGCGTTTAACATCTTGGAACATGCTTCTTATCAAAGCTGAATTTCTGTCGGGTCTTCTACCACCTCTGCAACTCTGAGTGAGTGGTTTCTTAGAGAGAATCTGGCCAGAGCTTTGGCATTAGCTGGGGAGTGAATCACTGTCCCCATCAATGTCACACCAGCTGCTCTAGCAGGGAGCCAGTGCTGCTGTCTCTGAGAATCCAGGTCCATGAAACGCCTTCGTTCCCAGTCTCCCTGGAGATTTCCTTCACATGTGGCTGCCCCCTCCCTTTTTTATTTCCATAAAACTTCTTAAAAATTTATTTATTATTTTATTTTATTGCATTCTAGTCTACATAATAGTGGAGTTCATTTTGACCTATTCATAAATGCATATGACATAGTTTTTCCCATTTCAGGCCCCAGTGCTGTCTCCTTCCCTCCTCACATCCCTGCCTGATCCCACTTCTCTGTGCTATTGCTCTGCTGTTTGTTTATTTATTTATGCATTACATTTATATATAAAATTGGCATGCGCTGTGATATATTCATACAGGCGCACAGCAGAATCGGCTCGACTTTATTTCCTGGTTCTTCTCTGGCCTCCCCGCCCCCTCACTGCTGGTCCCCTGAATCTACCCTGCTGCATGCGCTCCCATCGATTTTCTGGAGATCTCCCCTGCCCCCGCACTTTTTTTATTCCTTACTATGCTCTAGCTTCCACATATGAGAGAAAACATTCAAACTTTCACTTTCAGAGACTGGCTTATTTCACTTGGCATGACTTTATCCTTTTACCCGCAAGTGATATAACGTTGTTCTTCTTTATGGCTGAGTATAATTCCACCGTGTGTGTGTATGTCATATTTTCTTTATTCTTTCACCTACTGATGGGCACCTAGGCTAGTTCCATAACTTGGTTTTTGTGGCTTGTGCTGCTGTGGACATTTGTATGCACGTGTCGGTATAGTATGCTGATTTGAGATCTTTTGGATAAATACCAAGAAGTGGGATAGTTGGGTCATATGGTGGTTTCATTTCTAGCCTTTTGAGGAATCTCCATATTGCTTTCCAAAGTGATTATACGAATTTGCCATCTTGCCAATAATGTGTAAGTGTGTCTTTCCCCTTGCCAGCAATTATCACTATTTGTATTCTTGATGTTGCCATTCTGACTGAGGTGAGACAAAATTTCAGTGTGGTTTTGATTGGCATCTCCCTGTTTGCTAAGGATGTTGAACATTTTTTCATACATTTGTTGGTCATTTGTATTTCTCCTTTTGGAAAATGTCTTTTTAGATCTTTTGCCCATTTATTGAGTGGGTTATTAATTTTTTTCAGTTAAGTTTTTTGTAGGTTTTACATATTCTGGTTATTAATCCCATGTTAGAAGAATAGCTCACAATTTTTTTTTCCCATCCTGTAGGCTCTCTCTTCATAGTCTTAATTGTTTCTTTTGTTATGAAGAAGCTTTTAAAAATATTATTGTAGGGGCTGGGATTGTGGCTCAGCGGTAGAGCACTCACCTAGCATGGGTGGGCAGGACCCGGGTTCACTTCTCAGCACCACATAAAAATAAAGGCATTGTGTTGTGTCCATCTACAAAAAAAAAAAAAAAAATTCTCTCTCTCTCTCTCTCTCTTTAAAAAATGTTATTGTATTCCTTTATTCCTTATTTATTTTTATGTGATGCTGAGGATCAAACCCAGGGCCTCACACATACTAGGCAAGTGCTCTAACCACTGAGCAACAACTGGAGCCCCACGTAGAAACTTTTAAATTTAATGCTGTCCCACTTATTGATTCTTGGTTTTATTTCTTGAGGTTTAGGAGTCATATTAAGGAAGTCAGTGCCCACACCAGTGTGCCACAGTGGTGTTCTATGTTTTCTTCTAGCAGTTTCACTGTTTCTGGTTTAATTCCTAAGTTGGTCCTCTTTGAGTTGATTTTTGTGCGGGGATCTAGTTTCTTCTACCCATGGCTATCCAATTTTCCCAGCATCTTTTGGTAAAGCAGCTGACTTTTCTTCAACTTATGCTTTTGGCACATTTGTCAAGGATCAGGTGACTCTATAAATATGTGGATATGTCTCAGTATCTTCTAGTCTATTCCATTGGTCTTCATATCTGTTTTTTGCCAGTATCATGCTGTTTTGTGACTATTACTCTGTAGTATAATTTGAGATCAGGTATGGTGACACCTCCAGCCTTGCTATTGTTGCTCAGGATTGCTTTAGCTATTGGGGGCCTTTTATTCTTCCATATAAATTTGAAGACTGTTTTTTTCTAGTTCCATGAAGAATCTTGTTGGTACGTTCATTGGGATTTCCTTGAATCTGCAGACTGATTTTGGTGATTTGGGCTGCCGGCCTTTGAGTCCCGGTTGGGAGGTGGGATTGGGTTAGGGATGAATCTTGCAGTCACTCTGGAGATATCTGCCCCCTTTCCCTCTGAGGTCTGATGGGAGATGCAGAGTTAGGGAGTGGGACTGCTGTGGGCATCACCTCGTGCTCTCTCTCAGCAGCTCTTTAGAAGCAGGAAAGAGACTGAGAAGGGGCAGCAAGCTTCAGATACCCTGGGACTCATGAATCACTCCTCTCTGGGAGTCAAATCAAGAGAACCCATACGCAGGGGTTGGAAGTAAACCAAGCAATTGTCTGTGAATGAGCCACTGAAGGTCTGGACCCCTCAGAAACCCCTGTATGTAGCTGCAGGGGACAGAAGCCGTGGGATTCATAGCAGAAACCAATTCACATGTAGTTTCGGATTTGGTGAAAAACTGTGTGAACCAAAGGGGAGCTTCAGGCTGGGAACTGGAGAAAGAAAACCCTCCAGGAGCCAGAAGTCGCTAAGCCTTTCACACCCTATGGAGAGTGTCTGTCCCTTGGGCATCCAGCCTGCAGCATCCCACAGATGCCCCAGTGTGTACCCCCATTCATCAAGCAAGCTTTGGCTTGTAATTTTCCAGGTATTTGGTATGCAGAGACAGTTCAGAGTGGCTGAGGTGGGTAACAGACCTGGTTGGCTGTTGTACTTCTCATCAACCAATGAACAGGCCTTCTGACTTCCAGATAGTCCCCAAGAAGTGGAGCATAAGCTGGGTGAGGTGGCGCATGCCTGTAATCCTAGTGGCTTGGGAGGCTGAGGCAGGAGGATGGCATGTTCAAAGACAGCCTCAGAAACTTAGTGAGGTCCTAAGCAATTCAGCAAGACTCTGTCTCCAAATCAAATATGAAACAGGGCTGGGGGTGTGGATCAGTGGTTGAGTGCCTCTGGGTTCAATCCCCTGTACCAAAAAAAAAAAAAAAAAAAGGAAGAAGAAGAAGAAGAAGTAGGGCATACCCCAGGACCACCCCGAAGTAAGCCTTCCATTGAGACCCTGCGACCCCTGCTCTCCACGGTTCCTTCCTGCACTGGCTCAGCTCATGGAAGCTGTAAGGAATAAGACGTCATGCTCCTAAGTCAGTAAATGAACTTGAATGTGCTTAGTGGTCCCTAATGGGACCAAATCCTAGCAGGACAGTCATTATTAAGTGTAAAAAATAGAAGGGTTAAGGTTGTTATAAGGTATCGCTCAAACACTTAAATGGAAAGAGCAATGGCAAAATCTCAAGTAGCAGCTACTCTTTCCCCTTCTCAGAATGATCTGTGCAAATCGAATCCCTTTAAATCGACTTTGCCCTCACCAGTGTCGAGAACAGACATGCTGTGATCCGAGGCGCTGCAGCATTTCTATGATATCCTCCATTGTTTTTTCCTGTTGACTTTTACTTTTTTTCACTTAGAAATGTCAGTGAATCGATAACATTTAGGCAGGGCATTTTAGCGGCTCAGCACGGGGTTGGCAGAGAGACGGATGGTACGAGACGTGACTTTCACCAGAGCCACTTCATGCAGCTGTGCAGTATCTGCACAGCACAACCCCATAGCGCAGCGTCATCTGCTGTTCACATTGTAGCCTGTGAGGGGGCCTCCCTCCCCCCAGGTCGCCCATTAAATGTGTGGTATGTGGGCAGGGGGTCTGGCACATTCAGGGAGCTTATAATGTAGTCTTATAATACAGTTTGGTTGTGAAGGTGACAGCTGCATGTGGAGCTCCCATGGTGACTCCGATGTGACATTTTTTGCTAAGTGTCGGAATTCAGCCTGGAGGCTGGATTCCTCCAGTGGGAGTTTCGGTGCACATTCATGAGAGGAGGGGGCAGTGGAGTGACTGGAAGCCAATGCATGGAAAGAAATTGGGACTCGAATAAGCAGACACTGAGGGGCCCTGGTGTCCCTTTGTCGTGGTGTGAACTGATAAATACAAATCAATAAGAGTGTAAGTTATAGGTTATAGATTAGTAAAAAAAAATATATAGATTATAGATAAAAGATTTTGATAAGTGAGATAAGACAATTATAAAGCAGGAACTGTCACAGACAGCTCAAGACCCCATTTGCTGCCTTCTGTAAATAAAAAACTGTTACAAGAGCTGTTTCTGAGAAACTGAAATGAAAGCTGTTTTCTTATAAAAATTGTCTTTCTGTACTTTGTACCCCACAGATTCTACCCTACTCACGATGCAGCGGTGGTCGTGGTGAGCTACATCCTGGGTGTGAGTGCCCTTGTGGGTCTACATGACTTTGAAGTAGATTCTCGCCCTGCTGACCCCTGCCCAAATTCAGGATGCGACTGTCTAGCACCTGCTTGAACCCAGGACTGTGGTCACCTGAACTGCAAAGCTAATGCTATTTTAGCTTCTGTTTATTGCTTGCTTGCTGACTGGGAAATTCCAGTCCTGCCCAGAGTCCACAGGTCCCACTTGTTAATGTTTTAATTTCTGTGATTGGCTAGCTTACATGACGATAAGCAAGTCGCTGAGTTGTGTTTATGTTTATATTCTCTTTGGATGGACCAAGAAGCTGCTGTCCTCCCACAGAGCTTGAGTCTCTGCCACGGGTGACAGTCCCTAGCCCAGGTAAATACGGCTCTCTTTTGATTTGAAATTCGGACTTAGAGTGCTTTCTGAGGCGTCTCCCCATAACACTTTCAGCAGAATTAGGGACTAGAAGACGTGTGTACTCTTGTGCTGTGACTCCTTCCTCCCTGGCACTGTGGACTGTCACCTTAAATGTGATTGGCTGGGAACAATTTCTTAAAGAGTCCTAAACAGAGTCAGTATGGTTATGTCAACTCATGATTTGATGGCATAGATGAGTCTAGATGTGGGGGTTGGTGGGGGGGGATATAATGTTATTCAGCTCAGGCTGCCCTGACAAAGTGCCACAGACTAGGTGGTAGGACTTTATCTTCTCACACTTTGAGAGATCAGAAGTCTGGGAGCAAGGTGCTGGCATGGCTGGCTCCTCTCTGTGGCTTCTCTCTGTGATGCACAGGGTCTTCCTTCTGTGCATGTTTGTCCCTAGTATCTCTGCATCCCATTTATCTTCTCATAAGGGCCCCAGGCAGGTTGGATAGGGGCCCACATCAAGGGCCTCATTTTAACTCAATCACCTCTTTAAAGGCCTGATTTCCAAATCCAGTCCATTTCTGAGACCCTTGGGCTTAGGGTTCAACCCATGAATTTGGGGAGGGGCACAATTGAGCCCACACCACAGCCCCTCAGCCCTGCAGGGAAAGGGAGCTTGTGCTCCACGGGAGCGGTGATTGGCTACCAGAGGTGGACTGCAGCACGCCAGACAGAACTCCCGCCAGAGGCGTATCCCAGCTCCCCAAAATGTGCAGTACCTCCATTCTGGGGCCTCAGATCTAAGTCAAACCTGCCTGGGAGAATGTGACGGAACCAGAGTATGAGGAATCTGCCAATATCATAGCAAGACAGAAGATTTCCACCTTGGGACCATCAGACCAAGGTGAGCAAGTCAAAATCCCTTCTAAGATGGTGCCAGCCACAGAGGACCCTGTACAGTAATATCTGACAGATAACACACAGAGGGAAGTGTGTACCTCTTGTGGTGCAGAGTCAAACTGAGGTGACATGTTTAACCAGTGACATGTGCTTAAGCTGGTTGTATAAAGGGTATGTTGTATTCACCCTCCTTCTATATGGCCCTCATCTGTAAAAGCAATTAAGCAATGAGTAATTATTCCATTCATTTTTCTGAGTGTTAGAACTATGCTACAGGCACTTACCTACCACTCATTACTTCCTTCAATCTATACAACTCTTTGAGAAGGATTTTAACTGACTTCCAGGACCTGAAGGCAAACAGAAAGCAGACCTCATCTCCAGGTTTGGATCTAGCCTGACCTACTCCATAGCCTGGGTGCAGAACTCTGTAGAAAGACCTGGAAAGCAGGGCCTTGGGCTGGAATCTCTGCCGTAGTCAGTTTGGCTGGCCTCCCCCCGGCGGCTCCCTTCTGTTGGGGAAGGGACCTGGTGGAGATGGATCTCAAGGAAGGCCACAGAGTCCCTGGGCTGGCTTGCTAGGGTGGCATTCAGTTGGTTGAAGTGAATCTCTGCCTGAGGATGGTGTTGGAGTGGCAATGATGGTGGGAGGGAGGATGAATTGGTGCCTCTTCTCTGGTTCTACATTCAGTTTTCTTGGTCAGAGAAATTGGATTACTCAAGAGGTTGAGAAAGGGAACACTGGTAATTAAGTTCAAGGAGATGGATTGCTTTCGGATGTCCAGTCTCCTCAGTGATTACATTCTGCCTGCGTGGCAGTGATGGATGGCCAAGGAACTGAGAATTTCAGTCCTCTTCCCAAAGGTTGGCTTTACTTGCTTCTAGGCAAGACCAAAAATGATCACTAATTATTAACCTCTTCTGCTGGAGTCTTTGCAAAGATATCAACTCTTGGTGGGTTATATATGACAGCAGAATGCAATTCAATTCATATTACACAAATAGAGCACAATTTTTCATGTCTCTGGTTGTACACAGAGTTACGCCATTTGTGTTTTCATACATGTATATAGGGTAATGATGTCCGTCTCATTCCACCATCTTTCCTACTCCTATACCCCCCTTCCCCTCTGCCCTATCTAAAGTTCATCTATTCCTCCTATGCTCCCTCCCCATCCCTGTAATGAATCAGCATCCTTATGTCAGAGAAAACATTTCGACATTTGTTTTTTTGGGATTGGCTTACTTCATTTAGCATTATCTTCTCCAACTCCATCCATTTACCTGCAAATGCCATGATTTTATTCTCTTGTAATGTTGAATAATATTCCATTGTGTATATAAACCACATTTTCTTTATATGTTCATCCACTGAAGGGCATCTAGGTTGGAGCCATAATTTAGCTATTGTGAATTGTTCTGCTATAAACATAGATGTGGCTATGTCCCTGTAGTGTGCTGTTTTTAAGTCCTTTGGGTACAGACCGAGGAGAGGGATAGCTGGGTCAATGGTGGTTCCATTCCCAGTTTTCCAAGGACTCTCCATACTTCTTTCCATATTGGCTTCACCAATTTTCAGTCCCATCAGCAATGTATGAGTGTGCCTTTTCCCCACATACTTGTCAACACTTAATTGTTGTTTGTATTCTTAATAGCTGCCATTCTGACTGGAGTAAGATGAAATCTTAGAGTAGTTTTAATTTGTATTTCTCTGATTGCTAGAGATGTTGAACATTTTTTTCATATATTTGTTGATTGATTGTATATCACTTTCTGAGAAGTGTCTGTTCAGTTCCTTAGCCCATTTATTGATTGGGTTATTAGGGTTTTTTTGGTGCTAAGATTTTTGAGTTTTTTGTATACCTTAGAGATTAGTGCTCTATCTGATGTGTGAGGGATAAAAATTTGCTCCCATTCTGTGGGCTCTCTATTCACCTCACTGATTATTTCTTTTGCTGAGAAGAAGTTTTTAGTTTGATTCCATCCCATTTATTGATTCTTGATTTTAATTCTTGTGCTATACGGGTCTTATTAAGGAAATCTGACATGATGAAGATTTGGGCCTATTTTTTCTTCTAATAGGTGCAGGGTCTCTGGTTTAATTTCTAGGTTCTTGATCCACTTTGAGTTGAGTTTTGTACATGGTGAGAGATAGGGGTTTAATTTCATTTTGTTACATATGGATTTCCAGTTTTCCCAGCACCATTTGTTGAAGAGGCTTGGCACCTTTGTCTAATATGATATAACTGTATTTATGTGGGTTAGTCTCTGTGTCTACAAGTCTTGGTCTACAAGTCTATTTTGGTGTTAATACCATGCTGTTTTTGTTACTATTGCTCTTGTTACTATTGTATAGTTTAAGATCTGGTATAGTGATTCCACCTGCTTCACTCTTCTTGCTAAGGATTGCTTTAGCTATTATGGGTCTCTTATTTTTCCAGATGAATTTCATGACTGCTCTTTCTATTTCTATGAGGAATGTCATTGGGATTTTGATTGGAATTGCATTAAATCTGTATACTGCTTTTGTTAGTATGGTCATTTTGAAAATATTAATTCTTCTTATTCAAGAATAAGGGAGATATGTTTTCATCTTCTAAGGTCTTCTTTAATTTCTTTCTTTAGTATTCTGTAGTTTTCATTGTAGAGATCTTTCTCCTCTTTTGTTAGGTTGATTCCCAAGTATTTTATTTTTTTGAGGCTATTGTAAATGAGGTAGTTTCCCTTTCAGAGGATTTGTCACTTTTATACAGAAATGCCTTTAATATATGGGTTTTGATTTTGTATCTTGCTAATTGGCTGAATTAATTTACTATTTCTAGAAGTTTTCTGGTGGAATTTTTTGTGTGTTCTAGATATAGAATCATATCATCAGCAAATAATGCTAATTTGAGTTCTTTACCTATTCAAATTCCTTTAATTTCTTTCATATGTCTAGTTGCTCTGGCCACTGTTTCAAGAACTATGTTGAATAGAAGTGGAGAAAGAGGGCATTCCTATCTTGTTCAGTTTTTAGAGGGAATGCTTTCAATTTTTCTCCATTTAGCATGATGTTGGCTTGGGGCTTAGCATAGATAGCTTTTACAGTGTTGAGATATGTTCCTGTTATCCCTAGTTTTTCTAGTGTTTTGAAAATGAATGGGTAATGTATTTTGTCAAATGCTTTTTCTGCATCTATTGAGATGATCATGTGGTTCTTATCTTTTAAGTCTATTGATGTAATGTATTACATTTACTGATTTCAGTATGTTGGACCATCCTTGCCTCCATGGGGTGAACCAGGGATGATCTTTTTTGATATGTTTTTGTATTCGATTTGCCAGAATTTTATTGAGAATTTTTGCATCTGTGGTCATTACAGATACTGGTCTGAAGTTTTCTTTTTTTGATGTGTCTTGCTTGGTTTTGGAATCAGGGTGATATTGGCCTAACAGAATTAGTTTGGAAGTGCTGCCTCTTTTTCTATTTCCTAAAGTAAATTGAAGAGTATAGGTATTAGTTCTTTTTTAAAGGTCTTGTAGAACTTGGCTATGTATCCATCCAGTCTCGGGCTTTTCTTTTCTTTTCTTTTTAATTTTTTTTTAGTTGTAGTTGGACACAATATCTTTGTTTTATTTATTGTTATGTGGTTCTGAGGATCGAACCCAGGGCCTCAGACGTGCTAGGTGAGCGCTCTACCGCTGAGCCACAACCCCAGCCCTGGCTTTTCTTGGTTGGTAAACTTTGATGGCGTCTTTTATTTCGTCACTTGAAATTGATTTGTTTAAATTGTGCGTGTCATCCTGATTCAATTTGGGTAAAACATATAACTCTAGAAATTTGTCAATTTCTTCAATATTTTCTATTTTCTTGTAGTACAGTTTTCAAAATAATTTTTAATTATCTTCTGTATTTCTGTAGTGTCTGTTGTGATATTTGTTTTTCATCATGTATGTTAGTAATTTGAGTTTTCTCTCCTCTTTGTTAACATGGCTAAGGGTCTGTCAATTTTATTTATCTTGTCAATTTTTTCTTGTTTGAATTTCATTGATTTCAGCTCTGATTTTAATTATATCCTGTTTTCTACTGCTTTTGGTGTAGATTTGTTCTTTTTTTTCTAGGACTTTTAGATGTAATATTAAGTCATTTATTTGTTGACTTTTTCTTCTTTTAAGGAATGAATTCCATGCAGTGAACTTTCCTCTTAGAACTGCTTTCATAGTGTTCCAGAGAATTCGATATGTTGTATCTGTGTTCTCATTCACCTCTAAGAGTTTTTAAATCTCCACCTTGATGTCTTTTGCAACCCATTGTTCATTCAGTAGCATATTATTTAGTCTCCAGGTGTTGGAGTATCTTTTATTTTTTATTTTATCATTGGTTTCTAATTTCATTCCATTATGATCTGATAGAATGCAGGGTAGTATCTCTACATTTTTATATTTGCAAAGAGTTGCTTTGTGGCATAATATATGGTCTATTTTAGAGAAGGATCCATGTGCTTCTGAGAAGAAAAGTGTATTCTCTTGTTGAAGGATGAAATATTCTATATATGTCAGCTAAGTCTAAGTTATTTATTGTTTAATGAGTTCTGTGGTTTCTTTGTTCAGCTTTTGTTTGGAAGATCTATTCAGTGGTGAAAGAGGTGTGTTAAAGTCCCCAGAATCATTGTGTTGTGGTCTATTTGACTCTTGAACTTGAGAAGAGTTTGTTTGATGAACATAGACGCTTTATTGTTTGGGGCATATATATTTATTATTGTTATGTCTGTTGATGAATGGTTCTCTTAAGCAGTATGAAATCTCCTTCTTTACCCCTTTAGATTAACTTTGGCTTGAAGTCTACTTTATTTGATATGAGAATGGACACCCCTGCTTGCTTCCATAGTTCATGTGAGTGGTATGAATTTTCCCAACCTCTCACCTTCAGTCTGTGGATGTCTTTTCCTATGAGATGAGTCTCTTGGAAGCAGCATTTTGTTGGGTCTCTTTTTAAAAATCCAATATTCCAGTCTATGTCTTTTGATTGATGAGTTTAGGCCATTAACATTCAGGGTTACCATTGAGACATGATTTGTATATCTAGGCATTTTTGTTTATTTTTGGTATTTAACTTGACTTAGTTTCTCCTTTGATTAGTTTTTCCTTTAGTGTAATACCTCCCTTTGCTAATTTTCATTGTTGTTTTTCAATTCCTCTTCATGGAATATTTTGCTGAGGATGTTCTGTAGTGTAGGCTTTCGAACAGTAAATTCTTTTAACTTTTGTTTATCATGGAAGATTTTTTACTTCATCATCAAATCTAAAGCTTAGTTTTGCTGGATATTTCTGGATTTACTGGATTTATTTCAGAGCTTTGTATATGCTATTCCAGGATCTCCTGGCTTTGAAGGTCTGGATTTGAAAAATCTGCTGAGATATGAATTGGACTCCCCCTATATGTGATCTGATTCCTCTCTCTTGTGGCCTTTAAGATTCTGTATGCTAGGCATTTTCATTATAATGTGCCTTGGTATAGTTATGTTGTAATTTTGTGTATTTGGTGTCCTGTAAACTTTTTGTATTTGATTTTCCAATTCATTCTTCATGTTTGGGAAATTTTCTGACATTATCTCATTGAAGAGATTGTGCATTCCTTTGGTTTGAAACTGTGCCTTCCCCTATCCCAATAACTCTTAGATTTGGTCTTTTGATGCTATCCAATAATTCTTGGATGTTCTGCTCATGCTTACCATCTTCACTGAGCGGTCAACTTTATTTTCCAGATTATATACTTTGTTGTCATTATCTGACATTCTGTCTTCCAAGTGTCTAGTCTGTTGGTGATGCTTTCAATTGAGATTTTTATTTGGTTTATTATTTCCTTCATTTCAAGGATTTCTGATTTTTTTTCAGAATCTCTCTTTCTTGAAGTAATCTTTTGCTACCTGTATTTTCTTCCTATGTGTTTATTGGTGTAATCAGCGGATGCCTGTATTCGCTCCCTTATCTGTTTCTTGGTGTCATCAACAGTTGCCTGGATTTGCTCTCTTATCTCTTTATTTTTGCCTGGATTTGCCCATTTAGGTCATTCTTTAACTCATAGATCATTTTATTTATGAAAATTCTGAACTCCTTCTCTGACATTTCACCAACTGTGCAGTCCATGGGTTCTGTTATTGTGGTATCTTGGCTTGTTTGGGGCACTTTCCTCCCTTGTTTTTTCATGTTGTCTATGTGATTTCCTTACTTGCACTGTGGATCTGTAGTATCTGTGCGTATTATAATCTTGTAGTATCTGTGCAGATTATCTGTATCTCACCTTAGTGTTGGGCTTCCAGACCCTGCTGGTGTCCCAGGATGGATACTACTGCAACTAAAGGTGTGGCAGCAATAAAGGAGGTAACTCGAGATACCAGTGGAGGTGCCCCAAGGTGGATGCAACGTCTTTCAGAGATGAGGTTGAAAGGGTGGGCCTTACACTGGCTTTGTGATGCCTGCTCCAAGATGTAGCTGCTTCTAGGCCCTGCCTTTGTCCCAAGGTAGAGGAATGGGGAAGGCTATGCGGATGGCTGCAGTATCTCAAGATGGAAGTGAGTTAGACCTGGGATCCTAGGTGGTGGTGATGGTAGGGACAGACCCAAGCTTACCCTGGGCTCTGGCTTCTGTGCAGGTCAGCAAGGCAGATCTGGGCTGGGCTTGAGCTCCATTGGGTGTCTACTGGTGGCAGGATGGACTCAGGCCTACCCTGGGCTTGAGTTCCCACAGGTCAGTGAGGCAGGTCTGGGCTGAGCCTGACTCTGGTGGGTGCCTACCTGTGGGTGGAGGTGTTCCTGGGCTGAGCCTGAGTTCTAGCTGGTGACTACCAGTGGTGGGATGGACTCAGGCCTACCCTGGGCCCGAGTTCCCAGCAGGTCAGTGAGGTGGATCTCCAGCTAATGATTTTTCTACACATAATATTCGACAGCCACAGACCCCATGAAGTAATAATATGAAATGTTATTTACTGGTCACTTACTATGTGCATGATTATTATTGCAGATCCCTGCCTTCCTCACAGTCTCCTCCAGGCCTCAAACCCAACCAGCATTCCCTTGCCACCACTGGTTCTTACAGTAAATATGATCACTGTCCTCAATTCACATGATTAAACAAAGGCATGAAGAGATTCAGTGACTTGTCCATGCGACACACAATGGAGTTGACCTTGGAGCTGCCCAGCTTGTTTACTGCCAACCCCACTAACTACTGTGACCACGGTCAATTCTTCCACGCAAGTCAAACTGGTAGCACACAGTTGTTCAAGTTTTTGAGCCAACTATATGTCGGCACATCTCAATCAGAGTGTCCCAGACCACACCAAGCACTAACAAGGAGGGTCAATCACCTTCAGAATGTTGATCCACACCAGTTGGGACACAGAGACGTCCCTGGAGTCAGCTCTAGTTCATTGTCCCCAGGAACTCCTCTCCATTCCGGATGGTGGGAAAGCATCTCTGTGACTGCAGGGATCCTTTTGAAAGTCCCGCAAGAGACCAAGAAGCTCTGAAGGCTTATAAAGCAAACAGACAGGAGGAGAAACAGGAAGGAAGGTGCCTAAACCAGAGGAGAAAGGTGATTCACAAGGCCACCAGCGAAGGGCCCCAGGAACGAAGCTGGCTTTTAATTTTTGTTGTTCTGTTTTACCAGATGATTCTTTTGAGTCAGTGCTTGGCTATAAATATAGGTTAATTTCCAATTCCTCCCCCAAGCACTGGACAGATTTTGCCCACATCTTTTGTGTGTTGGAGAGGAAGGACATTCACCGTGCATGGACTGTGTGAAATTGTCAGCCGGGGGCGCTGGACTCGTCTACTTAGATCATCTTGCAGAATCCACTGAGGTCAGGCGCATTTTCCCAAAGCCTCCCCTTGCCCTCTGATCTCCTGCTGAGGACACCCAGCAAACTAGAAGTCAGAGGGGCACAGACAATACGAGTTTACAGGGCAGCCTCCCTGGGCACCGAGGGGTGTCAGGGTGGGAGAGCATCTGGAGGGGCAGATGGAGATGCCCACAGTGTCCAGGCTGGTCTTTGAGGGTGTGATCTAGGGGACCTGAGGACCTTAACCTGGTTTGAACTTGGCTGATGGAACCTGCAGAAGGAGACTAGGGATTGTTAACTAGCCCAGGTCCACTCGTCCTTAGGATCTTGATCTCCAAGGCTGGAAATCTACACTTGCTGGTGGGAGGCCCACTGACAGGAGCCAGGAGACCTGGGGCCCAGGGCATATCTGCTATGTGGAGCGTGTCTGTGGGCAGGTCCCCTTTCTGGGCCTGGCTCCTCATTCATGAAGTCAGTGGGTTGACCTGTTCTAGTAACTTTGGTCCCCCCAGTGCACCCGCCTGCCTGACCAACCTCTAGCGCTGTCATCCCGCTTGACCTGGAGGGGACTGGGCCTGGGCCCTGCCATTTTCCAACACATCCCAGGTGATTCTCAGGCTCAGCTGGGTTTGGGAAATACTGGACTAGATCCCCACCTCTGGTTCTGGGATCCTCTTGCAAGTGTCAGGGGATCATCAGTTCAAAACCTAACTTGTGCATGAAAATAGCACAGAAGGAGTTTAGCACTTTATTGAGGATGTGATGGCACATTTGTGATAATTATTTATTCCTCACAATGTTCTCTAGGTTGCCATAGTTACCACACCCATTTTCATAGTTAAAGTAATTGAGGTCAGAAACTTTTTTTTAATATCCTTTTTTTAAGTTGTAGATGAACACAATAACTTTATTTACTTATTTATATGTGGTGCTTAGGATAGAACCCAGCACCTCACACATGCCAGACGAATGTGCTACCACTGAGCCACAACCTGAGGTCAGAAACTTTTGAGATTCTTTTAGCAATATATGCTGAGCACCTACTGTGCATCCTACACTGTTGTGGGTGCTGGGAACACAGAGAAACAAAACAGACCTGAGCCCCTGCTCTCAAGGAGATGGATCATTAGGGCTACTTAAGTCCCTGTGCTTTTAACACCTGGTCATTACTCCTAGAATACCCTTTCACTCTCACAATGTCCCAATTTGGATGATAAAGTTATATTCCACAGATGAACAAAATAGATGGTGATGAAGACAATAAAACAACAATCCTGTCTACTAAAATATGCCATGATTCATAGGTATATATTTCTGACCGTTTTAGGCATCAAAACACTGTGGTTGACTTGTGTGGAATGGATGCTTAGGTTGGACAAAGAACACCTCTCTGAGGAGGTGACATAGAATCCAGATGTAAATAGCAAGGACTTGCTGGCCATGTAGAGACCTGGGGGTGGTGGTCCAGGCAATGGGAACAGCAAATATAAAGGTCCCAGGCAGGAGGAGGTCAGTCCTGTCTAACATCTCACAACGAACAGGCTCCTCTAATACATATTCAGCCCAAAATATCTTCAAAAGATCATTCTGCATTGTTAATGTGGTTGTAAAATTGTGCAGCCACTTTGAAAAACAGAATAAGGTTTCTCAAAAAAAATTCAGAAAGATTTTCATATGATCCAGCACAATCGCACTTCTGGGTACACATTTCTGGGTGTACATATAATTGAAAACAAGTTCTCAAATATTTGCACATCCATGTTCGTAGCATCATTCTTCACAATAGCCTAGAGGTAAAAGCAGCCTGAATGTTAATCAACAGATGAAACAAATATGTATACACATAAAATGGAATATTATTCAGCCTTAAATAGGATGGGAGGGGCTGAGGATGTGGCTCAAGTGGTAGCATGCTCACCTGGCATGCATGCGGCCTGAATTCAATCCTCAGCACCACATACAAACAAAGATGTTGTGTCCGCCGAAAACTAAAAAATAAATATTAAAATTCTCTCTCTCTCTCTCTCTCTCTCTCTCTTTTTAAAAAAATAAATAGGATGGAAATTTTGACACATGCTTCAACATGGACAAAGCTGTATATATTATGTTGATTGAACTGAACCAGCCACAAAAGGGCACATACAGTGTGATTTCATGAGCATGAAGTAGCTAGCGTAGTCAACTTCACAGAAACAGACAATAGAACAGTGGTTGCCAGAAGATGGAGGAAGGAGGAAATGGGGAGTTTAGTGGGTACAGAGTTTCAATTTTGCAAGAAAACTTTGGGGACGGGTTGCACAATAATCCTGTACACTTAAAAATGGTCAGATGGTAAATGCGATGCTATGTATAGTTCATCATAACTAAAGAAAAAAAGATCTCCGGCTGTAGGGTAGATGGTGCACTGTTGGGTGTCATGTACGGAAGCAGGGACGCTGGTGTTAGCAGGCTATTGTGGTCACCTGGGCTGGAGGGGATGGTGGGTGGCAAAGACATTATAGAAACGGATAGATTTAGGATATCTTTCTGTGAAGAGCCAAAAGGACTAGTTGGTGGTTTGCATGTGGAGATGAGCTGATGTACCCAAGGTCACCAAGCTGCTAAATGGCAAACTGAGACCTGAACACGTGGCTGACTCCAAACCTCACACTCTCACTTCCTCTCCAAACATCCACATCTTCCAATATCATCTTTAGGGACTAGAAATATCACCTGGGACTGCACTTGTTTCCAGTAGGTCCAGGTCATGCTACTGAACAAATGGTAATCCCTTTACAACCCTGACCTCTAAAAATGCCACTTGCTTTTCACAGACTTCAGCTTTAAAGCGCTGTTTTTATTTCCGATCATTACCCACTGAGCTGGCCTTCCTGCCAGCAGCTCACAGTTACAGTGCCTCCTTGGGCAACTGTGTTTTTGTGTGGCTTTGTGACAGCGACACCGCAGTCATTTGCCTGTGGTTTTGTATACAGCTGGTGAATTGGGATCAAGACCTGAGTCAAGCAGCCTCTGAAACTCTTCTGAGACCACAGAAATCCCTGGTGGGCACAGTGGGGGATGGCCCCCTCAAATCTTTTGTTTTCACCTCGGTTCATTAATGTCTAGGTTGCTAGGAAACCAAACAACAGCAGGGAAAGGGCTTTCTGAGGTTGCCTGACGCCCAGTTTGTGTTAATGGCCACAAACTGCAGTTGTACTCCGAGGTTGCTAAGGTCTTCTGAAGAGGTCAAGGTCCTCTTGTGGCCAGTTTGTCCTCTTTTTCCTTACCTGGTTCAAGGAAAGGCTCTCAGGGAATTGGCCAAGTTGCCAGCTCTGGGATGCTGGTGAGTCCTTGGTCCTCTGTCCTCGGCCACCCTGGAGGGTGTGGCTGGATCTGAGCAGAGCAGAAACCTCCTGCCATCGCTGGAGCCCACACCTGCCCAGCCCTCAGGGGAGGCAGCAAGCTTGTGTGGTGGGGTGGGCTGAGCAGGGAAACCCCTCTCCCCTTTTCTTCATGGCCGTTTTTTACAAAATTGATGCTGTTGCTGTGAGCAGGCGTTTTCAAACTGTCCTGCGCCCGGCAGCAGTAGCATTATTGGGAACTCCTTGGGACTGCAGTACGCCACATGTCCTGAATGAGAAGCTCTGGGTCAGGGGCCCCTAGGTGATTCTGATGTGCACTCACGGGAACCCTGTCTCTGGAATCCAGCCTTTGCTAACTGCGTGGCTTCTGTCAGCTTAGTTCTCGTCCAGTAGCTCCCCTCACCTTGCCCGCCCCCCGACACCTCCAGGATGCCCATCAATCCTCTTCCAATGACACCCACTGTTTCATGGCTTATGATTTGTTAGCAAGTAGTTCCTCGCTAAAATATGTGTTCAAAAAGAAATTACTTCTGTTAAAATTCAAGATTACCATTTTAGTGTGACCTTTCTTAACTCAATGTAAAATCTGAATCACGGTGCTTATATTATGATTCAGAATCTTGCTTCTCAGAGAAAAGGAAGCCAGGGTCACAGGCATTCATCCTTCCTGTTGCTTGAGGTATCCAACCGAATTCTGCAGGTGGTGACTTTGCACATATAAGGGCAGGACAGCAGAAGTGCCCTCCCCCTTGGGGGCAGGCTTTAAAGGCCAATCTGCAGGGGGGACAAGGTTTTTTAACTGTTTTGGTGACACAGCCAAAATCTTAAAGTGAACATTTTTGGTGACAAGCAAGAGGTAAGAGAAATTATCTTTGCCTCCTCCCAGACCGTTGGGTACTCTTTCCCCCTCATCTCAACTCAGGTGAGATTCTGAGGTCTCAGAAATAATGCCCGCCGGAACCAGTGGGTGGGCTGGGATGGGCGAGCTTAGTGACTGCTAGCTGCACTGATGGCTAGTGGTCAGCAAGATGGAAGGAGGCTAATTTCCAACCCTGTCAATCAGCAACCAGAGCTGTTACCTAACCTCCTGTGCTTCAGTCTCCTATATGTGAAGCAGACATAAGAGTATCTACCTGCCAGATGTGGTGGTTCATGCCTGTAATCTCAGCTACTCAGAAGGCTGAGTCAGGAGAACGGCAAGTTTGAGGCTAGCCTCTGCAACTTAGCAAGACCCTGTTTCAAAAATAGACTAAAGAAATACTAAGGACTGGAGATATAGATCAATGGTAAAAGCACCCTTAGGTTCAGTCTCTAGACCCCAGTACCAGAAAAAAACAAAGACCATGCACACTCACATACTCACGCACATGTGTACACACACACACACACGTGCACACATACATGCAAACTACCTTTCATGATTACTTCCACAATTAATGATGAACAGCAGATATTTTAAAATTCTCTTACAATTTAATTAAAACATTGCCTGGTTGACTGTTTCCTGAACATCTATTAAACACAGAACAGGTCCTATGGGCCCTGGTGCTTGAGACTCACATCCATCCACTTAAAGAGCCAACCAATGTTCATTGAGCTCCTGCTCAATTCTGGGTCCTCTTCTAGGTCCAAGTGCCAGGAGGGCTCAGAGCTGGAGAGTCCCCACTGCAGACACATGCACACTTGTACCTGAAGCTGGCCAAGGCAGGCAGGAGGGGTGGCGACTGTGGGTAGAGAACTCCTGGAGGTCACTGAAAGACCTCAGTCCTCCCAAACTAGGGGGAAGGAGTCTTGGGTCTGTGCCCTGTTGACAGCAGGCAAACCTAAGGGTGGATGTGAACCTGCAAGTAGAGAGTTGGAGTGCACCTAGTTGTCTGTCTTCACCAGAGGACCACAGATGCAGGAGGTAGAAGTGTTGGTCCTTTGCCCAATTCTCCTTTAAACCGTCATTAAGTCCTGTTTCATGCTGAGGGTCTGACCCAGGCTTCCACTAATCCATATGATGAGTCACGTCCAAGAGTGATGGGTCAAGTGGAAAACAAGCATGCAAAGCATCAAGAGGGAAGACACACCCCATGTCTTACCCTAACTGAAGATGCCTCTCCCGTGTAACTTTCCCTTGATTTCCACACGAGTCCCATGAGATTGGCAGGGGCTCATGATCTCACTTCACAGGGGTGGATCAAAGCACCGATGGTAGCTGGACACAGACACAGAGCTGGAGACAGGCTCCTGGCTTCCCAGAGGTGGCCTGGCCCTCAGGGGCCTCCCTCGTTCCCTCTGCTTCAGGAACTGCCCCTGCGAAAAGCTGGCAGTTGTGATGCTACTTGTATTTTTGGTCACAATTCTCTGGTTGCCACTCAGACCTGTCCAAGGCTGAAATGTGTGTCCATCTCAGTTCTGCTTTCAGAAAAGAAGAAAAGGAGTTGGCCCAGCGGGGGCCAGTTTCAAGGGGAAAGAAGATGACTCCTGGGTAGATGCTGGGGTGGCCACAGGAGGCTGCACAGGAGAAAGGTGAGACTCGGGGCTTCAAGGGGTGGCCTTTTCTCCTAGGAGAGGGCCCTTCGGCTGCCCTCCTCAGCTGGGACAGTGTGAGTGAGTGAGTGTGTGTGCAGGGCTCCTGCTGCTGTGGCTAAGGGACTCTGTCCCCTCATGGACCGACACTGGAGTGCCAGGTCAGTGAGACTCCTTCACTTCTGTAGGAGGGCCTCTTCCTGAGCTTGTGGGCGGGGAAACAGGACCTGGTCCCAGACAGGCCTCCCCCTCCTACAGACTGATGAACCCCTGGAAGCAGGTGGGGTCACTCTGCTCTTCTGAAGGACCCACCAGAGTTGCAAGACCTCATTTCTCAGTGTTGCAGAAGATTCCTGAACCAGGGGATCAGAAGTCCTGGGGTTTAGCCTTAACATTGGGCACTCTATTTTGCAGTCACAATTCTGACCTTCCATGTCACCCTCTGTGCCCATCCCCACCCATAGTGCCTGTCCTTGGTTTTAACCCTTCAGAACAGTTGCCTGGTGCTGCAAGGTGACACACACTGAGTAAAGTGTTCCCTGTACCCTGGTAACTCGTCTGCTGCGGTTTTCTCAGACGGACACTCACTAACACTGCCCTCCATCCTTCTTGTAATGGAAGATGTCTTAGCTGGGGAATTGTGATTTGGTTGAACTCATGTGTGTGACTAATCCCAGAGGGGAAGAGTAGTTTCCTTTCTCTTTTCTTAAAGTGACTCATCTGGACAAAAAAGGAAAAAAAAAAAAAACAACCCTTAAGTCTGTAAGGGTTGAAAGAACATGTTTCAGTCAGCTTTTTCGCTGCTGTAACTAAAGGACATGACCAGCACAATTATAGAGGAGCATAGGTTTCTTCTAGGGCTCGCAGTTTCAGAGGTCTGAGTCCAAAGAAGGCCAGATCCATCTTTTGGGGCTCGAGGTGAGGCTGAACATCATGGCGGAGTGTGTGGCAGAGGCAAGTGGCTCACATCACGGTGATCAAGAAGCAGACAGAGACTCGACTCTCCAGATACAAGATATATACCCCATAGCCATGTCCCCAATTAACCACTTCTTCCAGCCACTCCCCACCTGCCTCCAGGTAATCCCATCAAGGATTAATTCACTGATTGGGTTAAGACTCTCACAACCCAATCATTTCTCCTCTG